CTGGACTTCCTTGTTTTTTCTTTCTCTGAAGACATTTTGCTTCTCATCCAAGGAGCTTCCTCAGCTCTGACTGGGTGGTGGGGAAGGGAAGGATTGATCCTCCTTGCAGACAGCTGCTCATTTGCATCCTTTTAGAGCAGGGGTGACAAATTCAATTTCATTGAGGGCCACATCTGGGCTGTAGTTGACCTCGGAGGGCTGGGCAGGCATGGCCAACTGGGTGGGCGGGGCCAACTGGGTGGGCGGGGCCAGCTTGCCACCACTCCCCACGTTTCCTCCTCACATTGGGTAGACCAGGACAGCCCCGCGGCCGGATCCGACTACTTCGCGGGCCAGATGTGGCCTGTGGGCTTTGAGTTTGACGCCCCTGTTTTAGGGAGCCATTGAGGCCCCTTGGAGGACACTTTCTCTGTGTCCTCAGGGTCACCTGAGTGGGGCAGGTGGGTGTGGGGCCTTCTTGGAGCGGCTGAAAGGACTGTGCTGAAAATTGGGCGGACTTGTTGCCGTTCGCAGAAGTGGCGTATGACAAAGCCGTGCATTCTAGCACTGGACTAACTCCTTTCCAAGTTACCAGCGGCATGGAATTTGCCCCCGTGCCTGAACTGCTGAGAGAAGCCCCCTCCTCCATGTCATTGACGGAATGGATGGATTCATTGAGAAAGGGGTGGGAGAATACAGAAAAAGCGCTCTCCGAAGCAGCGGCTGGATATAAAAAACAAGCAGATAAGCACCGCTCGCTTCAGCCCCTCTTTCGGGTGCGGAAGAAAGTTTTTCTCTCCACTAAATTTTTTAATGTTTTTAATTCTTAAATGTTTTTTATAATGTTTTTAAATGCATTGTGAGCCGCCCTGAGTCTTCGGAGAGGGGCGGTGGAACAAATTAAATTAAATTAAATTAAATTAAATAATTAAATTAAATTAAATTAAATTAAATTAAATTAAATTAAATTAAATTAAATTAAATTTAATTTAATTTAATTTAATTTAATTTAATTTAATTTAATTTAATTTAATTTAATTTAATTTAATTTAATTTAATTTAATTAATTAAATTGTACATAAAATTGGGACCAAAGTTCTTAGGCCCTTTTCCCACAGTAAAAATAATTAACCCTGTGACAGTGCAATTAAGCCCCCCTCGCATATAAGGGAAAATACACCCCCTATTTCATTGTAGTTTCCATTGGATCTAACATAAGACCCCAGACCCAACCACCTCCTCCCCCCATTGTGGTTGGAAGGAGAGACCCATTAGGAGATAAAGAGGATATTAGACTCCAGAACGTATAGAGGTCAGTTGCAATGCCTAATACAATGGAAAGGGTACCCTTTGTCTGACGCCACCTGAGTAAAAAGATGGAACGTCAAAGCAGATAAACTTATTAAACAATTCCATGATAAATACCCAGACAAGCCAAAGGGTCCCCTTGGGGGGCGGAGGGGTGGTTAAATGCTATTTTCTTTACAGGACACGTGTCTCTTCTGGGGGGGGAGCGCCTGTCATGCCTGGAAGCCATATTACCTGTGTGCCTTGAGGATCCAGGCCTGCCACAATCATACCGTGGGTCGTTGGGAGGGGGGATTGCGTGGCTGAAGTAGAGATAGGCATAGCAAACTGCTCTAAGAGAAGTTCAAGGCCATGGTGTCCGGCAGCTGTGCAAAGGAGAAATGGGAGGATGTCTTCTGTTCAGGAAAGAACTGATTGGAACTGTGTGGACATGTGGGAGATGTGGGCAAGGTCTTGAACTTTCTTGTGCGTGAGGAAAACCCGGAAGCTTTTAGATTCGGGTTTCCCCAGATGTGCCAATATGGCATCCCTAATAAAAGTTACCTTTGAGGAACTTCAAGCCTCAGAGTTTGATTTCTTTGGGGGTGTTACTTGGAACCCTGACAGACTGTGTTGTAGACTGGAGATGGATGATGTCGCATTCCTCCTCCTCTGTCGAGAGAGGGTTGTTCAATTTGGACATAGATGGCCTCTTGCACCCCTCTTGCAAACCAGTTGTCCTCCCTGTCCAAAATGTGGACTTTGCTGTCTTGAAAAGAGTGGCCTTTCTCTTTCAAATGCAAATGGATTTCTGAATCTAGTCCGGATGGGCTTGTTCTCCTATGTTGTGCCACACATTTGTGAATTGGCTGTTTTGTTTCCCCAATGTACAGATCTGCACATGGCTCACTGCATTGTACTGCATATACCACATTGCTCAATTTGTGTCTGGGTGTTTTATCTTAGGGGTGGACAAGCTTCTGTCTTGGGTTTGCTTAGTGACCATTCAGAGATTCAGTAGCAATGGAGAAAGTGATTTAGGACCATTTTTCACACTTATGACCGTTTAGCATCCCCGTGGTCCCGTGATTTACATTGGGAGGCTTGACAACTGATTCACATTTTTGACGGTTGCAATGTCCCAGGGTCATGTGATCCCCTTTTGACAAGCAAAGTGAATGGGGATATCGGATTCACTTTGTGACTACTTTAAGAACTGCAGTGATCCACTTAACAAATGTGGCAAGAAAAGTCATAAAATGGGGACTCACTTATCATATTTCTCATTTAGCAACATAAATTTGTGGCTCAATTGTGGTTGTAAATTAAGGATTACCTGTAACCAGGGGTGAAATGTTCTGAAGTTTGCTACCGGTTCACTTCGCTACCGGTTCGCTTTGCGTGTGCATGTGTGGTGTGTGCCAAACGTGCACTTCGTGCGCATGCACACTGCAGGTGCTACCATGCAGTGCTGAAAAAGGAGGATTTAGAAGCCTTTTCTGAGCCTTCAAATGTAAGTAGAATAACAAGGGGGGAACAGCTGTGCTGCGCTATTTAGATCCGCTAGAAAGCAGGATTTCCTGCTTGCTAGCGAATAAAAATCACGCGGGACAGCTGATCGTCCGAAATACTGGTTCACCCGAAGCGGTAGCATTTTTTTTCATGTGAACCGGTAGCATTTATTACTACCGGTTCAGGAGAAATGGTCTGAACCAGTAGCATTTCAATCCTGCCTGTAACCTGAAGAAAAAAGGGCCCCTCTATATGGGAACCTCAAGGCAGTTTCAGCAGTGCCACCATGGTGACTGCTGCCCCTGCCCCACTGCTCTGTGCGGATGGGCCCTTGCTCTGCCAAACATAGATGGGCAACTCTGCCCACTCAGAAACTGTACCACCTTCAGTGTGTGGAGTGAGTGAGGCCTGTGTCCACCGCAGTCCCCTTGGGAAGTCCTGGTTCTGCTGGCTCCTGCAGTGGCCCTTCAGCTGCCCACCACATTTGGGGGTCTGCAAGAGACACACGTAAAGAAATTGTCAAGATATTTAAATTTATAAGTGAAAGTTGTGTAAAGAGTCACAACACAAAGTGATTGCTGATTGATTAAAGCAGGGGTCCCCATCCTTTCTGGGTTGGTGGCATGAGGGGGAGGGGCCTTTGGGCCATGTGAGTGCCCATGAAGAGGAGAATGGAGAATGGGGCCAAATGGGGCCATGAGCGTGCACAAGAATAGGGCCGCTAGTGCCTGAACTGTTGTTAAGGAATTTGCAGTGTAACCCTTGAGTAGCAAGGGTGTGCACATGAAAGCAGTTGAGAGTAGTTATGAATAAGCACAGTCACCATACAGATACACTGAGTTGTGTTATAGTTTACTTTCAGGAAAAAGTAAAGCACAGTCAAATAAACAGTCCAGGTCATACACATATTAATCAGAAGATAGCCAAAAGGACAGTCCAGGGATAATCCAATAACAAAGTCTTCTTACCAGTCGTCTTAGTCATTCACAGTAAACAGGTCTTCTGGATTTGCAAACCGTAGAATACAGAAATATCAGAGAGCAAGAACAACAAAGAGAACAAGCCATGTTTCTAGTTCCCTCTTAAGGACATTAGCAACAGAGCCAACCAATCAGGACACAGTATGATGCAATCTTAAAGCTACATTGATAATTTATATATTGCCAACCCAACAAGTTAGATAATAGGCATATTCCTAACAACTATGTTTGGGCAATGCTAGTGCCCATGCGAAACTATGACCATAGCATGACTGGGGGCATGTGCTCATAGCGATGATAGCATCCATAGGACCCTGTGATGTTAGTGTGAGTGGGGATACATGCACTTATGACAATGATAGTGCCCACGCAACGCCATAGTGCTAGCATGAGGGGGGGGGATGTGTGTTCAGGGCGACGTTAGAGCCTACATGACTCATGTCATCGCTAGCACCGGCATGACACCGGAACACTAGCACGATTGGGGGGTCATGCTCCTGGCGATATGACATGGCATCTCTAGTGCCCGTTCGACTCAAGGCAACACAGACTGGCCACCCCTGGATTAAAGTGAGCTGGCTACTGCATGAGGCAATCTGAGCTGTGATTGGTTGCCTTGAGTGAAAAGGGGGTGTTTCCTTGTTTCCCACCTTTATGCCCTGGGTGTCCTGTATGCCAGTGGTCCCCAGCTGATACCAATTCGTGGCCTGTTAAGAACTGCTCCATGCAAGTGAGCAAAGCTTCATTTGTGCGTATGAGGAATCTAGGTAGCGTGTGAAACCATCCTCCCCAACCCTTGCTCCCTGAGTCCATGGAAAAATTGTCCTCCACAAAACTGGTCCCCGGTGTCCAAAAGATTGGGAACCACTGCAGTCTGCTCTCCGAGATTTACCTCATGATGTTCCTGCTGTGTTAATTTATCGAACAATACTCCTGGTTGCCTCTCTTGTTGACCATAAAGATATTCATTTACACAAAACCATGTTCAATGTCAGTCTCTCTGACTCCATTTGGACTTGGTGGCCCAATTCCCTGACAGGAATGCCCTTCCCCAAACTCTTTACAAGGGTGGTCTTTGGGTGGTCTTGTACCCAAAGGCCCTTTCTTGGAACAGCTTTCGGTGTTGGAGACGGGGGAGAAACCTGGGGAAGGGGCTTCAGGAAGGGGTAGAAGGTGTCCCCAGCACAACTCAGAGACATCAGTCAGTCATGGCCTCCTATGGATGGTTCTTGTTTCTTGCAGGTCAGTAGAAGAGTCAGCAATACGCAGGAACCGAGCATGGCCCAGACAGAGGATGCCATTGAGACCCCAGCATTGGGCCGCCCCTTCCAGCTGGGGATGCTTTACGACTGTCGCAAGGATGCCCTTATCCCAGGTAGGAGCTACCGAAGAGGTTGATGGGTCTTGGGAGGGAAGGAAGGAGGGAGATGGGTGCTGCCAGAAATGCCCAGGCCCAGAGTTGAGCTCCTGGGCACATGCCCTGCTGGTAGCAGCTAACTAAGTAGGACCTTCTAGCTGGGAATGCATATCCATCCCTTGGCCAGGCAGACAGGAGGGCTGGCCTTGACTACCAATCAGAGGGTAGGTTTCCAAACCAATGTCAGTGAAATGATTTGGAAAATGGCTTTAAAAAGGAGTGAAATTTCCAAGGGGCTGAAATGAGGGGTAAAATTCTCAGGTTGTGGTACTGGTGCTTTTCTTGGGCGGGTGGGGGGCGGTCTAAACAGAGAAGAAGCCTCTGAACCCCTGTTGAATGACGTGGTTTCTCCAGGGAGTTGGAAATAGGCCACAAGAGCAAGATGTGCAGAGCAATTCCCATTCCTCTCTACTCAGTCAAAAGCCTTTAGATTTTGCTGTTTTTTGCAAAATGGGAATGAAGCTTCCCTGGTGATCCCCAGACAGAACAAATGAGGGAACCCTACAATAATGTCTCACTTGTCTCACCTCTCTGGAACTTCTTTTTCCAGCTGCAGATGTTTTGGAAGATGGTGTTCAATTCATGTTTTCTTCTGTTTCATGCAGGAGTCACCCTTTGGGATTACAGCTCTCTTCAGAAGGATCTGACCATCAAACCTCAACCAAAGACAGAATCAGAAATCATTGCTTCTGATAGCATAGATGATAAGGCCTCCACCCTGGACATCTCAGCCTCCCTCAAGGCCAGTTTCCTGGGAGGGCTGGTTGAAGTGGGAGGGTCGGCCAAGTATCTTCACGACACCAAGCAGTCCAAGCAACAGGCCAGAGTCACTGTTCAGTACAAAACCACCACCAAGTATGAACAGCTGACAATGAGCCACCTAGGAATCCAGAATGTCTCTTACCCAGCTGTCTTTGAGCATGGCACAGCCACCCATGTGGTCACTGCCATCCTCTATGGAGCCCAGGCCTTCTTTGTGTTTGATCGAGAAGTTTCTTCAACAGAGACAGTGAAACATATTCAAGGAAGTCTCCAGCTTACAGTCCAGAAGTTGATATCCATCACAGGAGAAGCAGAGGTCAAACTGACTGAGAAGGAGAAAGAGAATGCTCTGAAGTTTAGTTGCAAGTTCCACGGAGACTTTTCTTTGGAGAAAAATCCAGTCACTTTCCAAGATGCCATGAAAGTTTATGAAACTCTCCCAAAATTGTTAGGGGAACACGGGGAGAAGGCTGTGCCTATGAGGGTCTGGCTCTACCCGCTGACCAAGCTAGACACCAGAGCAGCTAAGATGGTCCGAGAAATCAGCCTAGCATTGATCTTTGATGCTGAAAAGATCTTGGAGGAACTCAATGAAATCCGGATGCAAAGCAACGATCTAGCCAAGAATCCCATTGCTGAGACCTTCCCTGAGATCAAGAGGAAGATCCAGCAGTTCAAGGATCTCTGCAAGCAACACAGGCAGACTTTCCAGAAACAGCTGGCTAGAATGTTGCCTTCCATCCGGGGAGGAGGGCAGGAGGAAGGGATCCTGGTGGACATCTTGATGTCCATCAACCAGTCGCCTTTCAACAGCCAAAGACTCCGTGGATTTCTGGACAGCAAAAAAAGAGAAATTAACTTTGTCAAATCTTATCTGACTATTCTAAATGAAATGCAAGTTATCTCATCTCAGAACAAGTTGGAAGAAATAGTTCTGGACCTCCAGAATGTATATGTGGTCTCCTTTATATTCACTTCTTTATATAAAAATGAGCCATTTCTGTTGAGCTTACAAGACTGGCTTGGGGAGCAATTCTTGCAAGAATCAGCTAAGTCCACAAGATCCAGTTCTGGTCAGGAGGAAGACACAGCATGGTTTGATGACAAGGGATGGACCCGCAATGCTCGCCAAGCTGCCAAATCCATTAAAGACTATTTCAGTATCAACCAATCCAATGAGAAGGTCTGCTATGTCGTGGCCTCTCTCCCAGATCTGGCCACACCAGGAGCCTCAATATACCTTTATGAAGATGGACGGCTGGTCAGCCAGAACTTTGAGTTGCCCTCAAAACCTCTCCCTTTCCTGATCAGTGAACTGAGACATGACAGCATTCAACTGAAGTTTCAGCCAGCTGAATATGGAAAGGCTTCCATCTCCAACTATCTGGTAGAGTACAAGGTTGCAGGGGACGAAAACTGGAAGACCGTGAGGACAGAGGACACCAGGGAGATGTTCCTGCTGAAAGATCTGCCTCCAAACACAGAGTACCAGTTCCAGTATGCTGCTTGTTGCAAGCCAGGCCTTAGTAAATCCAGTGACCTGAGCCCACCCATTAAGACCCTTCCCACCAGCCCTCCTGAGAAATTAAGAATGGTCACTGCAGCACCTTCTGTCATCTCTGTGGCCTGGATGAGTCCCAGCATCGTTGCTTCAGGAGTTATGGTCAAGGAGTATAAGGTGGAGTACAGAATGGTGGAGGCTGGAATTGGGAGTGTCCAGTGGACTGAAAAAAGGACTGGAAGAAAAACAGAATTTTATCCCATTGAAGGTCTAAAGCCCCAGACAGTGTATAAAATACGGGTGTCAGCCATGTGTGATAATGGAGCTCTGGGTGTCCCTAGCAAGGAGATGGAGGTCTCCACATCACTGGAGGAAGGAAGTATAGATAATGTAGCTCGCCAGTTCCTTCAGGAAAGCTCCCTGGTGGAGGACAGACAGCCATTAATGTTCACCCTGCCTCTGAAGAAAGTCCCCTCAGATTCCTCCAGATCCTGTTTCATGTACCAGGTTGGAAAGGAGAACCCAGAAGTGCCCAACAAAGTGATCCTGGTGATGGGAGCAACAGGGTGTGGGAAAACCACTCTGATCAACGGGATGATCAATTATATTGTGGGTGTCCAGTGGGAAGATAATTTTAGATTCAAACTCATTCATGAAACCACCCAGAGAAGCGAAGCTGGAAGGAGGACGTCTGAAGTCACAGCCTTTGTGGTGAACCATCGGAAGGGTTTCCAAATTCCCTTTTCTCTCACAATCATTGACACTCCAGGATTTGGAGGCACAAGAGATGCAGAGCAAGACAAACTGGTGGAGAAGCAGCTCCTGGAGTTTTTCTCCACCCCAGGGGGCATTGATCACATGGATGCCATCTGCTTGGTGGCCCAGGCCTTCCTTGCCCATTCAACTCACATCCAAAAATGTGTCTTTGACTCCATGCTCTCCATGTTGGGAAAAGACGTGAAGGAAAACATCCAACTCCTGATCACCTTTGCGGATGGGGGGACCCCACCTGTCCTGGAGGCCCTCAAGGAGACTGACCTGCCGTGTACTCAGAATGAGTCGGGAATCCCTCTGCACTTCAGACTCAACCATTCAGCCCTCTTTGCTCCCCGAGAATATGGAGGAAGCCCTAATATTGTTGCCGAAATGTTCTGGAAAATGAGCACTGAGAGCATGAAGAATTTATTTGACTCATTAGTGATGCTGGAAACCAAAAGTTTAACCTTGACCATGGAGGTCCTCAAGGAACATCAGGAGCTGGAAGCTGCTCTTAGAAGACCTCCCCCTCCTAAGGTTGAGCAAGTGCACCCAAATAGTTTCCACATCAGTATTGATCCAGCAGCCATCGGGAAGGCTTCGGTCTCCAGGTACCAGGTGGAATATCGGATTGCAGGAGACAATTGGAAAAGTCTCAATACTGAAGGCCCAAAGGATCAATTCACCCTGGAAGATGTCCACCTAAACCTTCAGTACCAATTCCGATGTGCAGCTGTGACTCCAGGAGGGCTCAGTCAATGGAGTGAGGCAATCACTTGCATCTGTCCTACGGGGAGGCCTGCTGAGGTAACTTGAGGGGGGGAGGAGAGGGGGAGGAGGTGGGGAGGAGAAGATGGAGATCCCAGAATCCTTGCTTGTCCTCCCAGAAGGCCCACCGCCCCAGCTCTTTTCTCTCTGCTGCTCCAGAAATGGGGGATCCCTTCCACAATGACCATTTAAGCTGATTTGGTTTGTGCGAGAATGAAGTCATTGGGTTCCTTGCCTTACTCTTTTTTTCCCTTGATATAATTTTTCTTAAATTTCAAAAACATGACTAAAAGGTAAACAAGCAAAGATCTCCTTCACAGTGGGACAAGTGACACAACAATGAACTTGAAAATAATAAAAAAAAAATTACAAACAGCTTTGGAAGAAAGTTAAGGATTTAGGAGCCCAGGTAATTTTTCATCCATTCGTCCAGCAAAAGACCAACATCCAATGAGGGACCAAAGGATTTCAGAAACAAACCAGTGGCTTAAAAATTGGCCATCTAGAGAACTTCGGTGTCCTAGACCGTGGTCTGCATTACCTGGAGTGTATGGGTTTTAATGTTTTCTTTTTAAACTTTTGTATGGGATGTTGTTTGCATTGTTTTATTCTTTGTTGTTAGCTGTCCAGAGTCCCTCGGGAGTTGGGCGGCATAAAAATGCGACTAATAAATAAATACCTACATGAAAGGCTTCTAGCAAGGGATGGACTGCACCTCACAACAACGAGAAAGAATATATTCAGAAAACAACTGGCTCATCTTATTGTGGGGGGAGGGATGGTGTGCAGGATCAAGATGGGTCAGCCTCGAGGGCAGCAGGGAGGGATGGCCCCCTTTTAATCCCCCTCCAATTCCTGTTTGTGTCTTCTTGGGGATTGCGAGTTCCTAGCAACCTCTGAGCAAGGAAGCCTCTCCATCAGCTAATTTTCTTTTCACTTTTCATCCAGAAATCCCGAGTTTTGTGTTGTGCAACTTGTCTGGAAATTCCTGGAAGCATCCGAGGTAAGCTCTTGGGCCCTGGGGATTGGGGGAGCTACTGTCCTGGGTAGAGGGAACAGGCTATGATGGCTATATGCTGCTGACCGGGTCCCCTTCTTGTCTCCTCTCCTCTTTGGGTCCTAGGGCCTGAACGTAGGATCATCCTGATGGGAAAAAGCGGAAATGGGAAAAGTGCAACAGGAAACACAATTCTGGGAAGCAAAGTCTGTGAATTTGGTTCAGCCACCAAAACGTGCCAAAAAGAGGAGACATGGCTGAAGGGCAGGAAGATTGTGGTTCTCGATACGCCCGGCTTTGTAGATACGCCTGGCTTTTGGAATCCAGTGTTTTACTCCAACTACATGATAAATGGAATTACGAAGTTTGTCAGCCTTTACTCCCTAGGTCCCCACGTTATTCTGTGGGTCATTCGTCTTGGCTCTTTCACCAGGCAGAGGTTGGTGGCTGAGCAGTTCAAAAATATTTTCAGCCTTAAAGGCAAGAATTATACGATCGTCTTGTTCACTCACAAAGAGGAGCTGAAAGGGAGGGCTCTGGAGGAATTCATATCCGAGGAAGATCCCTCTCTTAGGAGTGAAATGTCCCACTATGGGAACCGGTTCCTTGCTTTCAACAACGAGGCCGAAGGAGAAGAACGAGAAGCTCAGGTGGCCCAACTGATGACTATGATTGATGACCTGGTGCAAAAGAACAAAGATGCTCCTTGTTACACAGAAGAGATGTTAACAGCAGATTTAAAGAACCAATGAAATTAAAATGCCTCCTCCTTGTTGCTTTCTTCTTTCGATTCAGTAATACTTTTAGACTCATGTCTCTTTGGAAGTGCATGCTCTTTTGGGCTTCCCACCTTTCAGTCCTTTGAGGTAGACCAGGCCAGGAAGCCCCCAACACAAGAAATATTAGAACTCAATTTTATAGCTACGGATTATACTAGCAGAATCTTGAAAATGTTTCCTCTTCATTCCCTCTGGCACCAAAGAGCATCAAGGCAGGGCAGCCTTGAGGTTCTTTCTCACCCCTTCCTGTTTTCCTGGGGCAAATGTATGATTTCTTAATGGCTGCCTCGGCCGTCTCTATGCCTTCCAGTGGTCAATGTGGATTCGTTCAACCAACGATCATCTTATTAAATCTCATCCTTTCTTACAAAAGAGGCTGTGTCTTTTTGGGGGTGGGGAGGCATCCACTCAGCCAAACGGATGCCATGCCACGATGCCCTCACCAGGCAGAAGAGAAGGGGGAGACAGCCCTGACTTCTTGGAGGAGGGGGACATGGAATGAGCAGAATATACCGGAGGGTTGAGTCAGAATTCAGGACTTCCCATGAAGCTTTCCATGCTGGGTCCAGGAAGCGGGTCCTTCTTGGTGAAAAGGCAGTGCCTGCTGGGTATTTCACCATCTCTTTCATGTCCTTCAGCTCCACTCCAGATCTTTCTTCTGAGCCTTCCCCTTTCTGGGGTGCAGGCCCCACCAGATTGTCTGCAAAGGGGTTGAAAACCCCACAGTTCCTTCTTATCTCAGTTTCCTCCCCAGAGAGGGCACCCCAAAGACAGTGGGTACAGCCATGCAAATGTCCAGAGAAGCCGGGCATGAGAGCTATGAAAAAAATATCTGCTTGAGAACTGGGGATGCAAATGAGTGTCACATAGAAACCCCCTCCCTGGCCCCTGTGATGTTTGAGAGCCCCCATCCCAGTCGACTCCAAGGCCCAATAAACCCAAGAGCCCAGGAACCGGCCATTTCCTTCTGGGGCCATCCCACAGCTCTCTCTTGTGGGATCCCCAAACTGAATGGACCCCGTATCCCCTCTTGAGGTGTGCCACAATAATAAGAGCCAAGGTGGGGGTGGGGTGAGCCAGGTTGTAGCAGACCCCTTCTCACCCGGCCAGGACTGCAGCAGCATCCACCCCACTCTACATAGAGTGACAGTGGTCCCTGGCCCAGTCATTGGGGGAGGGTGGCTTCCAATATCTTCTCTTGTGGCCACATCTCATCTCTGAAAGGCTCTGCTGGGCCACAGGGGCCCCCTCAGACAAAATGCTTGCATCTAAAGGACCCTGTGTGTCCTTTAGGATTGGAGTGGAAGACCTCAAAGGTCCGTTTCAGCTCTATTCTGATGGAGTGATTGAAAGCCAACTTGGGCAGTGGACCTGCAGGATTTTGAGGCCAGGGAGATTTCCCCCCCTCCCCCAGTGAGCAGATATGCCCAGTCAGGTAGGCTGCCAACTGTGTTTATTGGATTTTGAAGGTAGTTCAACTCTGGAGAACAAGTTCCTAACCTTAAAAGATGTTGGAAAGCAGGAGGAACATTGACCTTGAGAAGATCGGACAGCCTGTGATGCTCTAGCCTGGATACTTGATCTGACCAGGGGCTGGACTAGATGGCCTCAAGAGACCCTTCCAGTTCCGAGAGTCCCCAATTCTACCATCAGGAGCTCTTCTGCTCTGCTTGTCTGTCCCCTACCTGTGGGCCACCCCATCTGCAATCAGTCAATCAGAAGAGAGTTGGAAGGGAACCAACTGGTCTTCTAGTCCAGCCCTGCTCAAGCAGGAGATCCTAGACGAGTGATGGCTAACCTTTTCTGGACGAGTGCCCAGAGCGCGTGCATGCATCTGTGCCCAATCCCCCAAAATGCAATGAATGAATAATGTTATTAATTTTAATTATGAGCATTTGTTATTGATAATAATTATTCATATTGATTTTTAACATTAGTTATTAATAGTTATTAATATTAATAATTATTTAAGTTAAAGAGTAAAAAATAATTAAATAAATAATAATCATTCTACTAAGATTAGTTATTAATAATTATTCTTATTGATTACTAACATTAGTTATTACTAATAATTTATTTATGGATATTAATTAAAAGCGAAACGCCTTCCAAAAAACCCCAAAGTCCAGTTGCCTCTTGGAAAAGCACCTTTCGGATGAATATTAATTATTAGCATTAGTTACTAATAATTAATAACATTACTTCCTTATTAATATTAATAACTAATTAATGAAATAATTAATCACTGTTTCACTGGTTTTTCTCTGAGCTAGGAAGTTTCTCCTTAGTTCCAGGTTGCTTCTCTCCTTGCTTAGTTTCCATCCGTTGCTTCTTCTCCTGCCCTCGGATGCTTTGGAGAATAGATTGACCCCCCCCTCTTCTTTGGGGGCAGCCCCTCAAATATTGGAACGATGCTATCTGGTTTGCCACACACAAACCAGCCACCGGTGATGGCGAAACTTTTAGAGACCGAGTGCCCGAACTGCAAGTTTCACGCACATGCACACAGACACACGCAGCGGAGTCCCGAAGACCAGCTGGCTGGCAGGAGGCGGGGCATCACAACACTGGCAGCTCTGCAAGAGGCGAGATCTTTTTCTTTCGCAAGCTTCTGTTTCGTCGTTTCCCTGCAAACGACAGCGATAAATGCCACAGAGAAACGTGGTGGAGCTGAGCTGGGGCAACGGCCTGTGTGCCCACAGAGAGGGCTCCGAGTGCCACCTCTGGAAGTGTGCCATAGGTTCTCCATCACCGCATCCTTCTTTTCTCTAGACTGGCCAAACCCAAATGCTGCAAACCAGTCATAGGTTTCAAAAATGTTTGCTACCGGTTCGGTGGGTGTGTCTAGGTGGGAGGGGCATGTGACTGAGTGAGCATGCCTGATTTGATGTCACTCACGCCCACCTCCACTCAGTCACATGACCCCCCCACCCCACCCAGCCACGTCCACAGGAAAAGGTAGGAAAATTTTTGGAATTTCTATCTATCTACTCCCGCCCTCCCTTCGCCAGTTGCCCCTATTTCTCCTCCTTTAGTGGCCCCGGACCTAGCCCTGCTTCTTCCCCCACCACCACCTCTTTGTTCGGGCTGCTTACCTTCCACGGTGGCTAGTCCAGAGTCCGGAAGGCAAGCTGACTGGACTTTTTTGCAGCCCTCAGACAGCCGCCACTGCTGGAAAGTGGCTGGCAAAGAAGCCTCCCAGGCCACCAAAAAGTGCCGGAAGTCGCAGAAAAAGCTGCTGCCATTGCCACCATGTTCATCATACATGCGCATCCCATTGGACTTGCAAGGCAATAGAATGCACATGTGCAAAAAACATGGTGGCGATGAACATGGCTGGCAGGGTGAGCAAGCAGCGATAGGGGGACCGGTTCGGGTGTGTGGCCAGCTGGCCATCACTACCGGTTTGGCGACCTTGGCCAAATTTCCACCAACGGTTCATGTGTGAACCAGCTGAATATCACCTCTGCTGCAACCGTTCTTCATATGTTTTACTCTCCAGGCCTTTGATCATCTCATTTGCTCTTCTCTGCACTTTTTCCAACGTCTCAACATCTTTTTTTAAATGCTGTGATGAAAACTGGATGCCGCATTCCAGGTGTGGCCTTACTAAGGTTTTACAAAGTGGTACTAACCCTTCCTGTGATTTTGGTTCTATGCCTCTGTTGATGCAACCGAGGATCGTCTTAGCTTTTACGGCTGCCTTGTGTTTAAGGGATCGTCCGCTAGGACTCCAAGGTCCATCTCCCTGTTTCTGAGCCGGGTTTGGCCTACTCTGTGTTTGTACTGCTCTGAAAGCCTTCATGTGTCTCCGTCCTTGGCTTTTTCCAAGGTCAGCCAGACCACCTGCCCTTTCTCCTCCCCTGAGAGCAACTCCAAAAGAGAAAGTTGAAAACGAATTAGAAAGCTGCAGCAGTTTCTAGAAATCTTCAGCTGATCCTGGAAACCAAAATTAGAGCTGGATGTTATTTAGGGAAGCTGGCTTGTCCGAGGGGTCAGCAAACAGGTGCTACGTCTGTGGGACAAACACGGCTTCCCTGCCATGGGGCAGCAGAGAAATGGGTCAGTATGGAGGAATCCTGCGGTTCCGTAAAATTAGATATTTGTTCTTTTTTGGATCTTCTGAGCTTCTCTGAGAACTTTGACACTGAACGTCCTCAAGAGCTGGCAAAGTTTCTAAGTACCCTTCGGCTCACACACACACACACACACACACACACACACACACAGAGAGAGACAGACACACACAGACACACACACACACACACACCTTGTGGACCATGTGATTTCACTCCCCTGCACTCTTTGACAGTGTAATTGACCCTTCTGCAGGAGATGGTGATAGATTGATGAATGGATATACTGATGGATGTAAAGGAAACCCCAGAAGACTTAGAGAGATGCCGTCTTGCAGCCAAGAATTTTTGGCTGCTTCCAATGGTCATTAAATTGTTGGACTCTGTTCCCATCGCCAGCAGTTAAAAGGACGGAGAGATCGAGCAGAGAAGCAGCGAAGGAGAGCAACAGATCCACCCTCTGCTGGGGTTTCCTGATCCTTCCAAACAGGTGAGATCCCTCCCCACAGGCATGAGACCCCCAAGTTAGGGGCAGCCGAGGAGAGTGGGGCAAGGGAAGATCTTCTTCTGGGCCTCTGGTGGGAATTAGGACAAGGAGCTTCTCCTTTGACCCGAGGGTGAATGCTCCTTCCTTTCTGGGGGACACTAATGGTTGAGTGGGAGAGCTGAGACCCTCCTCTGAAGAAAGGCAAGCAGAGAAGGGAGGAGGGAGGGAGGAGGAGATGACAGCTGAGATCCTAACTTTAGGAATGGGACAGGCTGAATGTGGTCAGGATCACTGTTTTCCTTGTTGGAAAGGCACCTGGAGGCAGGAGGGAGTGGAAGGGAATGGCAGGTGACTTAGCAATAGGTGTGACACAGAAGCAGCTATGTTGTTGGGGGGGAGGCGATATCCCAGATCATTTGGGGAAGGGGCTTGCTCCTTTTCTGAAGTTTCTGAGGAGTTCTGTCCAGGCAGAGCTAGAATCGGGGAGCAGGGAAGGGAGACCTTTTTCTAAAGCTCCCCTTGCCCTTAGGACTCCCAATCCCATCTCCCCCCTCCACCCAAGTCCGCCCCCAGGAACAGTTTGAAGACCCCTGGAGGGATCAGGGTTTGCCCTCCTTGCAAGGGGGGTGGGAGGAAGAATGGTAGGAATTGGGGCTTCGCTCTCCTTCCTCCTTCCTAGACAGCCTTTTGTGGGTGGACAGGGGATGGGGAGGGGGCTTGGCTGAAGGGGGCATCCCATCCAGGAAGGGGAAAGGAGGAAGTTTGCAGGTGTGTACATGCTTGTGCCTGTGAGTGCATTCTTTGGGGGGGGGGTTATTCCCCCCAATAAAAAAATATTAAGAGATGCTCAGTCTTGATTTTAGGGTAAGGAAAGGACTACCCTCTCCAGCCCCCCTCCCCAAAATCCTGAACACTAAAACTGGGGCAGCCTTTTCCCTATGGAGAAGCAGAGTCCCAACCTTGTCTCGCCCTCTCCTGGTGAAGAGAGGAACTGCATCGATCCATCAGAATAGAGGGACCTTGGTGATCTTCTAGTTCAGACAAATAACTGTTCAGCCTCTTCTTAAAAATCTCCAGTGATGGAACTTCTGGTGGCCAGCAGTTCCACTGGTTAATTGTCTCCCCTGTTAGGAAAGTTCTCCTTCATTCCAGGTTGCTTCTCCCCTGGATTAGTTTCCATCCCTTGTTTCTCGTCCAGCCTTTGGGTGCTTTGGAAAACAAGTGGACCCCCTCTTCTTTGGGGCAGCCCCTCAAATACTGGAAGGCTGCTATCATGTCACCCCTAGTCCTTCTTTTCTCTAGACTGGCCATAAACAATTCCTTCATTTTTCGTATGTTTTAGTCTTCAGGGCTTTGATCATCTTAGTTGCTCAACTGTGACGCTAGCGCGAGTGGGGATGCGTACGCTCACGGAGACGATAGTGCCCGTGTGATGCTATGATACTAGCACGAGAGGGGGGAGTGTGCACTCCCAGCAACTCTAGAGCCCACACGACTCTCATGTCATCACTAGTGCTGGCACGATGGAATGCTAGTGCCATTAGTGGGTTTCAAACCCCGTTGCTACCGGTTCGCTTGTGGGTGCGCACGCGCTTGTAGGCGCACACAACACTTCTGTGCATGTGTAGAAGCTTCTGTGCATGCGCAGAGACATCCAGGCGGGTGAGTGGAGCTTCCTGCCACCGTTACCGGTTTGCCCAATCCGGGGCGAACCGGTAGCAACCTACCACTGGGTAGCCCAATTGAGGGGGTTGTGCTCCTGGCAACTCAACATGGCATCTCTGGTGCCCGCATGTCCAATGCCAACAGAGATCGGGGAACTCTGGAGTAAAGTGAGTTGGCTACTGCATGAGGCAATCTGAGCTATGATTGGTTGCCTTGAGTGAAAAGGGGGTGTCATGCCGCAACATATAACTTTTATACACCGTTGTTGCTCTCTAGCCCCATCTAGTGGCCGGAGGGACAATATGCCCTAACATACAATCTGTATATACTGTTGTTGCCCTCTAGCCCCATCTACTGGCTGAAGAGACAAAATATCAAGTACATTGTTTGAAGCTGACCCAACCCATTTTACCTGTCACTCTCTCAAACCAAGTGCACGCTGGGAAGCCAGACTCCATTTCCTTTAGCATTTCGGGAAGGCAGGAGCACAAAGAAGAATCCATCTTAATCTGCGGCTTGTGGTCATCCAAGGACAAACCCACATCCCACACACAGAGCATCCCTGGTGAGATTTAAATTGCTTGTATTTATTAATTATTATTGAATTGAATTTATTAAATTTTTATATTTTTATGTTCAGCAGTAACTTAATGCTGTCTATCTTGTACTTGGTTCTTATTGTATGTATCCCTATTTTTCTCATTTTCATCATATCCTGTTCTTCCAATAAAGCATTCAGATCTACGCACAAAGTCTGTTTTATTGGAGGATAGGTGGGTTTAGCTGCATGCCAAGTTGCACACAGACTAACGTGTAGTAAGGACAGAAAGTGGGGGGTTCCTTGTTTCCCACCATTATGCTCAGTGTGTCCTGTATGGCAGTGGTCCCCAGCCCCCGGGTGTGGATCAATACCGGTCCACAGCCTAATAACAACTAGTCTGCAAAAGTGAGCAAAGTTTCATCTGTGCGTTTGCGGAAACTAGGCAGCGTGTGAAACCATCCTCCTACACACTCTCCCCTGGTCCATGGAAAAATTGTCTTCCATGAAAATGGTCCCCAGTGCCCCAAAATCAGAGATTACTGCTGTCTGCTCTATGAGATTTACTTCATAATGTTCCTGCTGTGTTGATTTACCAAACGATACTCCTGGTTGCCTCTCTTATTTACCGACGTGATATTCATTTACACGAAACCACGTTCAGTGTCAGCGTCTCTGACTCCATTTGGACACCAGCGGTGCAATTCCCTGACAGAAATCGCCTTCCCCAAACTCTTTACAGGAGTGGTCTTTGGCCCATGAACCCAACGGCCCTTTTTTGGAACTGCTTTCAGTGTTGGAGAGGGGGGAGGGGCTCAACACATAGAGACAACTGTCAGTCATGGCCTCCTATGGATGGTTTTTGTCTCTTGCAGGTCAGTAGAAGAGTCAGCGACACACAGGAACCGAGGATGGCCCAGAGAGAAGATGCCATTGAGACCCCAGCCCTGGGCCGCCCCTTCCAGCTGGGGATGCTTTATGACTGTCACAAGGATGCCCTCATCCCAGGTAGGAGCTGGAGGAGAGGTTGATGGGTCTCAGGAGGGAAGGCAGGAAGGAGATGGGCACTGCCAGAGATGCGCAGGCTCAGCCTAGGGACTGAGTTCAGCTCCTGGGCACATGGCCTACTAGTAGCAGCTAACTAAGTAGGAGCTGCTAGCTGGGAATGCACATCCATCCCTTGGCCAGCCACAGAGCACGGCCAACCTTGCCTACCAATCAGAGGGTAGGTTTCCAAACCAAAGTCTGTGAAATGATTTGGAAAATGGTTGAAAAAAGCAAAAACCAGAGGGCTGAGGGGTGTTATTCTCAGGTTATGGTCCTGGTGCTTTTCTCAGGGGGGAAAAGGCCCGGAGAGAGAAGAAGCCTCTGAGCCCCTGATGAAAGACATGGTTCCTCCAGGGAGCTTGGAGATCTTTCTGGCAATCAAGAGGTTTATAAAAATTACTTTTAATCTCTACTCTGTCAAAAGCCTCTGGACTTTGTGGTATTTTGCAAAATGGGAAGGAAGCTTCTCTGGGGATGGCTGGATAGAACAAATGAAGGAAACTTCTAAGGGAAATGATGTCTCCTTTCTCCCACCTCTCTGGAGGTCCTCTATCCAGCTTCAGGTGTTTGGAAGATGGTGTTCAATTCATGTCCATGTTTCCTTCTGTTCCATGCAGGAGTCACCCTTTGGGACTACAGCTCTCTTCAGAAGGACCTGACCATCAAGCCTCAGCCCAAGACAGAATCTGAAATCATTGTTTCTGACAGCATAGATGATAAAGCCTCTGCCCTGGACATCTCAGCCTCCCTCAAGGCCAGTTTCCTGGGTGGGCTGGTTGAAGTGGGAGGGTCAGCCAAGTATCTTCATGACACCAAGAAGTCCAAGCAACAGGCCAGAGTCACCGTTCAGTACAAAACCACCACCAAGTATGAACAGCTGACAATGAGCCACCTAGGAATCCAGAATGTCTCTTACCCAGCTGTCTTTGAGCAGGGCACAGCCACCCATGTGGTCACTGCCATCCTCTACGGAGCCCAGGCCTTCTTTGTCTTTGACCGAGAAGTTTCTTCAACAGAGACAGTGAAACATATTCAAGGAAGTCTCCAGCTTACAGTCCAGAAGCTGATATCCATCACAGGAGAAGCAGAGATCAAACTGACTGAGAAGGAGAAAGAGAATGCTCTGAAGTTTAGTTGCAAGTTCCATGGAGACTTTTCTTTGGAGAAAAATCCAGTGACTTTGCAAGATGCCATCACAGCTTATGAAACTCTCCCAAAATTGTTAGGGGAACACGGGGAGAATGCTGTGCCTATGAGGGTCTGGCTCTACCCCCTGACCAAGCTAGACACCAGAGCAGCTAAGATAGTCCGTGAGATCAGCCTAATGTTGATCTTTGATGCTGAAAAGATCTTGGAGGAACTCAATGAAATCCAGATGCAAAGTAACGATCTAGCCAAGAATCCCATCGCTGAGACCTTCCCTGAGATCAAGAGGAAGATCCAGCAGTTCAAGGATCTGTGCAAGCAACACAGGCAGATTTTCCAGAAACAGCTGGCCAGAATGTTGCCTTCCATCCGGGGAGGAAGAAAGGAGGAAGGGACCCTGGGGGACATCTTGATCTCCATTAAAGAGTCACCCTTCAATGGCCAAAGACTCTGTGAATTTCTAGACAGCAAGAAAAGAGAAATTAACTTTATCAAATCTTATCTGACCATTTTAAATAATATAGAAGTTATCTCATCTCAGAATAAGTTGGAAGAAATCGTTCTTGACCCCCAGAATGTATATGTGGTCTCCTTTATATTCACCTCTTTACATAAAAAGGAGCCATTTCTGTTGAGCTTACAGAAGTGGCTTCAGGAGCAATTCTCGCAAGAATCAGCTAAGTCCACAAAGTCAGGGCAGGAGGAAGACACAGCCTGGTTTGAGGACAAGGAGAGGACCCGCAATGCTCGCCGAGCTGCCAAATCCATCAAAGACTTTTTCAGTATCAATCAATCCAATGAGAAGGTCCGCATTGTTGTGGCCTCACTCCCAGATCTGGCCACACCAGGAGCCTCAATGTACCTTTATGAAGATGGAGAGCTGGTCAGCAAGAATTTTGAGTTGCCCTCAAAACCTCTCCCTTTCCTCATAACTGAACTGAGACACGACAGCATTCAACTGAAGTTTCAACCAGCTGAATATGGAAAGTCTACAATCACCAACTATCTGGTAGAGTACAAGATTGCAGGGGAAGAAAACTGGAAGACCGTGAGGACAGAGGACACCAGGGAGATGTTTCTGCTGAAAGATTTGCTTCCAAACACAGAGTACCGGTTCCAATATGCTGCTTGTTGCAAGCCAGGCCTTACTATATCCAGTGTCCTGAGCCCACCCATAAAGACCCTTCCCACCAGTCCTCCTGAGAAATTAAGAATGGTCACTGCAGCACCTTCTGTCATCTCTGTGGCCTGGATGAGTCCCAGCATCATTGCCTCTGGAGTTGTGGTCATAGAGTATAAATTGGAGTACAGAATGGTGGAGGTTGAATATGGAAATGACCAATGGATTGAAAAAAGGACTGGGAATAAAACAGAATTTTACAGCATTGAAGGCCTTAGGCCCCAGACGGCATACAGAATACGGGTGTCAGCCGTGTGTGACAATGGGGTTCTGAGTGTCCCCAGCAAGGAGATGAAGGTCTCCACAATACTGGAGAAAGAAAGTGCAGACAAGGTAGCACACCAGTTCCTTCAGAAAAGCTACCTGGTGGAGGACAAACAGCCATTAGTGTTTGCCCTTCATCTGGAGAAAATCTCCTCAGATGCCTCCACCTCCTGTCTCGGTTACCAGCTTGGAAAGAAGAATCCAGAAGTGCCCAATAAAGTGATCCTTATAATGGGAGCAACAGGATGTGGGAAAACCACTCTCATCAACGGGATGATCAATTATATCCTGGGTGTCCAATGCAGAGATAATTTCAGATTCAAACTCATTCATGAAACCACCCAGAAAAGCGGAGCTGGAAGCAGGACGTCTGAAGTCACAGCCTACGTGGTGAACCATCAGAAGGGTTTCCGAATTCCCTATTCTCTCACAATAATTGATACTCCAGTATTTGGAGGCACAAGAGATGCAGAGCAAGACAAATTGGTGGAGAAACAGCTGCTGGAGTTTTTCTCCACCCCAGGGGGTATTGACCACGTGGATGCCATCTGCTTGGTGGCCCAGGCCTTCCTTGCCCATTCAATTCATGCCCAGAAATGCATCTTTGATTCCATGCTCTCCATGTTGGGAAAAGACGTGAAGGATAACATCCAACTCCTGATCAGCTTTGCAGATGAGGGGACCCCACCTGTCCTGGAGGCCCTCAGAGAGGCTGACTTGTCGTGTGCTCAGAATGACTTGGGAACCCCTCTGCACTTCAAGTTCAACCATTCTGCTCTTTTTGTTAACCAAGAAAATGGAAGAAGCCATAATGCTGCTGGAGAAATGTTCTGGAAAATGAGCACTGAGAGCATGAAGGATTTCTTTGACTGGTTAAAGATATTGGAAACCAAAAGTTTAACCTTGACCATGGAGGTCCTCAAGAAACGTCAGGAGCTGGAAGCCGCTCTTAGAAGACCTCCCCCTCCTAAGATTGAGCAAGTGCACCCAAATAGTTTCCAGATCAGTATTGCTCCAGTAGCCATCGGGAAACCTTCAGTCTCCAGGTACCAGGTGGAATATCGGATTACAGGAGATAATTGGAAAAGTCTCGATGCAAAGAACCCTAAGGATCAATTCACCCTGGAAGATGTCCACCTAAATCTTCAGTACCAATTCCGATGTGCAGCTGTGACTCCAGTAGGGCTCAGTCAATGGAGTGAGGCGATCACTTGCATCTGTCCTACGGGGAGGCCTGCTGAGGTAACTTGACACCTTCCTTGGAAGAGGGAGGAGGAGGAGGAGGTGGAGGAAAATTAGAATAACCTGATACCAGTTGTGGGTACTCCACCTCTGGAGATATTTAAGAAAAGACTGGGTAGTTTCTTGTCTGAAATGATATAGGGCATTGGTGGCTAACCTTTCTTTGCTCAGGTGCCGAAAGTGCACACGTACGATAGCATGCACGCCCGGCCATGCCCAGACCCATGATGCAATGCCTCCCATGCACCCTGCCCCACAATGCATATGTTAAGTTGGGTGAATGAGGACGCAGCAAGCCAGAGTAGTTCGTGACAACAGCCCTTTATTATATGGTGAGACTCCAGCAACTCAACCTGGGAGCCAGCTCCCTTTATATACCTTACAACAGTAGTGGTCAGCCAATCAGCTGAGGGTCAGTTAATTCAAACTTCCCGCCAAACAAACCTATTTACATAACACTCCTCCCCTCCCAGAAGTCACTTGGGGTGTTATTTACATACAAAGTCTCTCAGGTGCCTAGGGTGTGTACGAGTCCTATTTGACCTGCGCAGTTCAGTCGGAGGGGCGGCGTCGAGCAGGTCGGAGGGACTTTCTGTTTCTCCCTGCTCCGCCAATGAGGCCTCCGGGACCTCCTCGTGGGCGGCGACTTCTCCGGCTGTTTGGACTACCTCGATGGGGCGGCGCTGGATACCAGAATCCTCAGCTAAGTCCTCCGCTCTACTCGGGCTTGTGTTTTGTGCTTCTGGCTGGTAGTCATGGTCAGAGATGGGGTCATCTAACTTGTCGTCGGTGTCTGTGGTTACCCGTTTTCTTAGCTGGTCAATGTATCTGTGCCAAACTCTCCTGTCCCCCATATCTACCCTGTATGATTTGGGCCCCGTGATTTCTGTGATTGTCCCGGCTTCCCAGAGTGGGCCCTGTCCATAGTTTCTAGCGTGAACCGGTGTTCCTATGGTGAATTCTCTAAGCTTCCTCTCCCCCCCCTTGAAAACTTCTGGAGAGTAATTGGGGTTGAGCCTATCTAGTATTCCTCGGAGTTTCCGTCCCATTAATAGTTCCGCTGGGCTTCGGCCCGTGGCTGTACAGGGTGTGGAGTGCTGCGCTATTAAAAACTTATCTATCCTTTCCTGCCAGTCTCCGGGGCTTAAGCGTGAAAGGGCCTCCTTTGCTGACCTTACAAATCTCTCTGCCTGTCCGTTACTGGCCGGATGAAACGGGGCTGAAAGGACATGTCTGATCCCTAGTCCTGCTAAATAGCCCTCGAATTGTGTCGCGGTGAATTGTGGCCCGTTATCTGACACTAGGATGTCCGGTAACCCATGGGTGGCGAATAACTGTCTCAGCTCCCTGATGGTTGCGTCGGTGGTAGTGGCCTTCATTAGCTTAATCTCCAACCATTTGGAGAATGCGTCTACAACGACCATGAAGGTTTGTCCGTGAAATGGGCCTGCAAAATCAATGTGTATCCTGGACCAGGGTCCCTGGGGCCTTTCCCACTCCCTTACGGGCGCCGTTGGTGGATCTGATCTGGACTCTTGGCAGGGCTGGCATCTCCCCACCCACTCGGTAATATCTGTGTCCATGCTGGGCCACCAGTCGTAGCTCCTGGCTAGCCCCTTCATTCTTACAATCCCAGGGTGCCCCTCATGCAACAATGTTAAAACCTTTTCCCGTAAACGTAAAGGAATAACAACCCGATCGCCCCATAGCAAACACCCCCCTTGCATTGTCAGCTCGTCCCGTTTTCCCGCGAACGGTTTAAATTCCCCGCTCCCAATCTTTTCCGGCCACCCCCTCATGACCCAACTTGCAACTGTCCAGATCATGTGGTCTTTGGTTGAGGCTCTGGCAACCTCGGCTGATGTTATGGGCCCAGAGTCCAAAACGTCTATCAGCAGGATGGGGATGCCTGGTGTGGGGTCTTCTAGGCCGTCAGGTAGTGGGCATCGGCTGAGTGCGTCCGCATTGCCCATGTCCGCCCCTGGTCGATGTACCAGGCAATAGGAGTATGCTGCGAGGAAGATGGCCCAGCGTGTCATGCTGGGCGATAGTGCTGCCGGGGTTGGTCGATCTCCCGCGAGGAGACCCAGGAGCGGTCGATGGTCGGTGATTAGTTCAAAGTCCCTCCCGAACAAGTACTCGTGGAATTTCTTTACTCCTGAAACGGCGGCGAGGGCCTCTTTGTCGAGCTGGCTATAATTTCGCTTGGCGCTTGATAGAGTCCGGGAGTAGTACGCAATGGGCGCCTCTAGGCCATTCGGGAGTCTGTGGCTCAGGACGGCTCCCACCCCAAACGGGGACGCGTCACATGCTAGAACAAGGGGAAGCGTTGCATTGTATTGTATTAAAAAGCTTTCAGCTGATAACAGTTTTTTGATGCCGGCGAATGCCCTGTCTTCAGCCTTCCCCCATTTCCATGTGGCTTTCTTGGTTAACAGTCTATGTAGGGGTTCTGCCACTGTTGCCTTGTCTTTAAGGAAGATGGCATAAAAGTTTAATAGTCCCAGGAAGGCCTTTAACTCTGCCTTGTCTTTGGGGGTGGGTGCTTCTCTGATTGCCCTGATCTTGCTTTCTGTGGGGTGTATGCTGGTGCCATCTACCCTGTACCCTAGGAATTCGACTGAGGGAACTGCGATCATGCATTTATTTCATTTTACTCTGAGTCCTGCGTCCCTGAATTTCCTTAGGACTCCCCTCAGTCTTTCTCTTAATTGCTGCTCATTGTCGGCGGTAATGAGCACGTCATCAAAATAGGGCACCACCCCGGGGATCCCTTGTAGTAGCCGCTCCATGGTACTTTGGAAAAGTCCGGGGGCTACGCTTACTCCGAATTGCAAGCGGGTGCACTTGAAGGCCCCTCTGTGGGTTACGATAGTCTGTGCCTCTGCGGTAGCGCCATCTACCGGCAGTTGCTGGTACGCCTGCGCAAGGTCGAGTTTTGCGAAGATCTTGCCGGGGCCCAGGGAATGCAACAAATGGTGAACGATGGGCACTGGATAGGCGCTTTGCTGCAGGGCCTTATTAATTGTGCATTTGTAATCAGCGCATATGCGCACTGATCTGTCCGGCTTTACCAGCGTAACAATTGGGGTCTCCCATTTGGCGTGGTCGACTGGAACAAGCACCCCTTGTTTGATTAATTTGTCCAGTTCAATGTCAATTTTGGGCTTCAGGGCAAACGGTACCCGCCTAGGCTTTAAGCTGATGGGCGCAATATTGGGGTTGAGGTTAAACGAAATCGGGGTCCCCACATACTTGCCCAGCCTTTCGTCGAACACATCCTGGAACTCCTGCATCAGGTCTTCCTTCAGGGTGCTCCTAACGTTTCTCACTCCGGTGAATCCCATGCCTAGGGCTCTAAACCAATCCATGCCCAGGAGGCTTGGGAGGTTGTCGCTGACTATGGTGAGGGGCAGTTTCTCGGTAAACTCCCCGTACTGAACTTGGAACTCGCCTTTTCCTTCGACGGGTATGCGGTTCCCCTGGTAGTCCTTCAATCTGCGTTGCTGTGGCTGGAGCTGTCGCTTGCGTGCGCTGGGGATGATTTTCTTTAGGGATTCCCACGACATGATGGATATCGGTGATCCCGTGTCGATCTCCATCTGGCACTCCCGTCCCTCGATCTCGACCGTGGTGTAGGTCTTTTCTCCGGGCGAGGTGCAGGTCTCTGCGATGCAGATGGTGTAGGCCCCAGCGTCTTCAAATTTCGCGCCCTTCCGGTTTCCGCCATCTCTGTTGGGCCTTCAGTGTGGTGCCGGCTCTGATTGGAAGGGTTGGCCACGTGGTTTGTAGCTCTGGTGTGCCTTGGATCTGCAGACCCGAGCGATGTGGCCCCTTTTTTCACAGGAACGGCAAATGGCATCCCTGAACTTACAGTTTTGTCGTGAGCGGGACCCTCCGCAGCTGGCGCATCCGTCTCTGGGCTCCCTGCGGGCTGTGCGGGACTGCTCGGTGCGGTAGACCTCTTCTTCAGACTCCCCTTCGCTCGCGGAGCTCGTGGCCTCTCGGTGCACTGGTGCCGTCTTTTGCGTTGTTCTGGTTAAGTGGGAGCTCTTTAGTCTCTCTGCAGCCTTTGTTGACGACTCTTGTGCCCTGGCCTCGTCTAACGCGATGAGTAGGGTCAGGTTTGACCTCGCAAGCAGCCTTCGCTGGAGTCGGCTATCTCTCACTCCGCAAATTAGTTGCTCTAGGAGCATCTCATCCAGGTCTCGGTACTCACATTGGGTTGCGGCCTTACGCAGGGCAGCGATGTACTCGCTGATCAATTCGCCCTCCTGCTGTAGCCGTTGCCGGAAATCATAGCGTTGGACGTACTTCGATGGCGTTGGTGCATAGTGGTCTTTCAGCAGGGTCTGTAGCATCGACCAGGAAATGTTGTGGACCGAATTCGGCTCCGACAATGCTTCGGCTGTGTCGAAGACCCTTGGCCCGCAGTGGGTCAGGAACAGGGCTTTCTTCCTAACATCCGGTAGCCCTTGCATGTCGTTTGCCACCATGAAGCACTCGAACCGAGACATGTAGGATCCCCACTTCTCTTCCTTGGGGTCGAAAGGCGCTGGCGGGGTGTAGGCAGACATCGTTGCGGGGATTCTCCTGTGCTCCGCTCGCTCGCCTGGCTGGATTCGGTTGCGGTCTCAGGTCCCCTCTCCGAACGTGGCTTCAGCTCTCCTCTGCTTCTGGCCTCAAAATCCCACCTTCGTCGCCAATGTTAAGTTGGGTGAATGAGGACACAGCAAGCCAGAGTAGTTCGTGACAACAGCCCTTTATTATATGGTGAGACTCCAGCAACTCAACCTGGGAGCCAGCTCCCTTTATATACCTTACAACAGTAGTGGTCAGCCAATCAGCTGAGGGTCAGTTAATTCAAACTTCCCGCCAAACAAACCTATTTACATAACAGCATACGTTTACCACCTGCCCCCCCCACACTCCCCTGCCCCCCCTGCCGTGCATGCACACACAACCCTCCCCCATGCCCCGTTTTGGGCCTAGCAGGCCTCCTTGAAGCCTCCAGAGGCGAAAAGAGGCTTTTCTGGAGCCTGGAGAGGGCAAAAACGGCCTCCCCCGACCCTCTGGAGGCCTTCTGGAGGCTGGAAACAGCCTGTTTCCAGACTTCCGGGAGGCCTGTTTTTCACCCTCCCAGAGCCTCTGTGCGAGCCCAGTACTTACCTGGCATCCAAAATGGGTGCATGGAGATTCCTGGGAGGGGAGGGGTGGTGAAAATCAGCTGGGGCATGCATGGTGGAGGTGACCTAGGGCAATGGCTCGCGTGCCACCAATGGTGCTCAGTGTGCCACCTGTGACATGCGTTGCTATAGGATCGCCATCATGGAAATAGGGTCTCCTGTTTGAGCAGGGGGTTGGACAAGAGGACCCCCGATGTCCCCCACTCCCCACTGAGGGAGAAGAGCCATGGGGCAAGGGAGGTTCCCGAGAGGTTGGCCAGTGTGGCAGTGGGGGACCTGGAGGAAGACAATCTGGGGTGACCCTTGGACACCATCTGGAGCTGCAGCAGCAGCAACTAAAGCCCCATAGAACAGGGTCTCTTCAAGCATGAGCCGGCTGTGGGGAGCTGCCAGCCACTTCTGACATCAACACCCCCCCATTCGTGAAACTCCCAAAGTGCAGGGTCTCAAGAATGTCCTGCATAAAAAGGGGGTAGCATGGGTGGAAGGATCAGATGGGCAGTGTTGAGGGGATGGCTCATTTTTAACCCCCCCTCCAATTCCTCCATGTGTCTTCTGGGGGAGGGGAGTTCCTGCAACCTCCCTGCAAGGCAGCCTCTCCTTTGACTGACTCTGTTTCTCTTTTCACGCAGAAATCCCGAGTTTTGTGCTGTGCCACTTGTCTGGAAATGGCTGGAAGCATCCGAGGTAAAGTCTTGGCCTCTGGGGTTGGGGTGGGGTGGAAGATACTGTCCTGGGTGGAAGGACAGGCTATGATGGCCATATGCTGTTGACCTGTCCCCTCTTTCTCTCTTCTCTCTTTTGGGTTGCAGGACCTGAACGAAGGATCGTCCTGGTGGGCAAATGGGGAAATGGGAAAAGTGCGACGGGAAACACAATCCTGGGAAGCAAAATCTTTGCGTTTGGGCTGTCATCTCGGTCAGTAACACAAACCTGCCAGAAGGAGGAGACGCAGATGAAGGGCAGGAAGGTTGTGGTTGTTGATACGCCTGGCTTTTTCCATACCTATCGTCCAGACAAGGATACTGCTGCAGAAGTGAGCAAGTGCGTGAAGTTTTGCTGCCCGGGTCCCCATGTCATTCTGCATGTGGCGGATCCTTTGCGTTTCTCCCAGGAGGAGACGGACGTGGCCCAGCAGGTCAAAGAGATTTTTGGCCTTAAAGCCAAGGATTACACGATCCTCTTGTTCACCTGCAAAGATGGCCTGGAAGGTCGATCTCTAGAAAATTTTATATCTTCCAGAGATAAAAAAGTGAAGGAATATATTGCTGAATGCGGGAACCGGTGCCTGGCTTTCAACAACGAGGCAGAAGGAGTGGAACGAGAGGCTCAGGTGGCCGAAATGATGACCATGATTGATGATCTGGTGGAAAAGAACAGATACGCTCCTTGTTACACAGAAGACATGATGAAAGTCAACAAAAGACATGATTTCAGATTGCCTCCCTTTCCATCAGGGACCAGAAAGTCTCTCTAATTCAGCCTCTGCTCCAGTGGTGGGTTGCGGAGGCTCCGCCCACCCACCCAGACGTCTCTGCACATGCACAGAAGTGTTGCGTGCGCGTGCCCACACCCACGAGGGAACCGGTAGCAGCCGAAATTGAAACCGACTACTGCTCTGCTCCCAAGGTGACAGCTCTGCCAAAGGCCACTCTGAAGCTTCAAAAGGCTTTTTTTGCTATTGCAACTATTATATAGCTTCTCAGCTTCCAATGAATTATGGGGGGAGGGAAGAGGGAGATAGAATTTAGGTTTCAGACATGAAGATCCCAGCCATGAGGATCTATAGATACTTTCAAAGACATTATGTAAGGAATGCTCCACTCCTAGTATGGGAAAAGGTTAAAGCCAAAAATTAGCCAGGAAAGGTAAGTGAAAGAAACAATGATAACATGGGCAAATTTTTGGGGGGTATGCTATGGAATTAGATAAATTAGATAGATAAACTTTGGGATAGAAACTGTAATTCACTATGGAGGCAATGATATAACCTAACATATTAGACATTGGTAAAATAGTAAAATATAACGAAATTTTGGATAATGAGGGGAGATTAAAATCCAACCAAGAATTAAAGGAGCAGGGAATAATTATAGACTGATGGCCTATAGACTTATAGACTCCAACTACAATCAAGATACAAAAAAGATTTAGAGGAATTTGGATTTGAACCAAATTTAACATAACTAGACAAATTATTAACAGGCCCAAAAGAGAAATTACTATCTAAAATATATAATTATTAATTAAATTTTGATTTGGAAGAGGAAATTGTAAAGGGGCCAATGATAGCATGGGCCAAAAATGTGGGATGTAATATTGAGTTAGAAGATTGGGAAAAAATTTGGAAGAAAAATTATACATTAACAAAATCTGCTGCATATAAAGAAAATCAGTATAAAATGTTCTATTGGTGGCACTTAGCCCCAACAAGACTTGCAAAAACATACCCCAATCTAAATCCTAATTGCTGGAAATGTAAAAAAGCACAAGGTACCTTTTTCATGTATGGTGGCTTTGCCCAGAAATAAAAAAATACTGGATTAAAATACAAAAATGGTTAAAACTCATCTCTTTCAGTTAGCCGGTCTCTCTTGATTTTATGATTTTATGGTTGATTTTAAATTTTGATATGGATTTTAAATTGACAAATTTTAAACTATGGGCCAAATTTAATTATTTTAAATTTATTTTTAATTGTACTTTATGTATAAATGTTTTATTTTGGCTGTTCACCACCCTGAGTCCGAAAGGAGAAGGGCGGTATAGAAATTTGAATAATAAATAAATAAATAAATAAATAAATAAATAAATAAATAAATAAATAAATAAATAAATAAAATTACGCATTGCCAAATAGAATTGAAGCCTGAACTGTTTCTTCTGGGGATCATTAAAGGAAAATATCCTAAAAAAAATTAATATTTGATCATTCATATTATTACAGCATTGAGAATTGTTACTCGCAGAAGCCTGGAAAATGTCCATTACATCGATAGATTGTGTAATAATCCAGAAAATTTTTTGAATGTGCAGAAATGGACAAACCTACTATAGAATTAAATAATAAGGAAGACTCAGAATATTACTCAACTTGGGAAAACTGGTATCAATGGATAGAAAATAAAAATAGGAAATATAGAGATCAAAATAAAACATAATTTGTGTTTACATATATGTGATCAGGAAGGAATATCTGAGAATATATGAATAGAGTTAAGATTTGTATACTGTTAGAACGATGTTGAATTGTACAACTATCATGGATGTATTTTTGTTACAGATGTATTTGTATTTTAATATTTTAAGTTTTAATAAAGGTTTTTTGAAAATTTAAAAAAAGAAACTATAAATTGACAATGGCAACTACGTACAAGGAAAACCTGTATAAAATGTTCTACAGGTCACATTTGCCACTGGCAAGGCTAGCAAAGATGTTTAAAAACATGTCCGCCAAACGTTGGAAATGCAACCAGATACCGGGCTCGTATTACCATATGTGGTGGACCTGGCCAAACACCTTCCAGTAATCAATGTGGACTCAGGATGGAGGCCATTCCTGTTTCACCCAAAGATCTTATTAAATCTCTTCCTTTCTTAAAAACAAGGCTCTGTCTCTTTGGGGAGGGGGGTATCCACTCAGCTGAATTGATACCACTCCAGATGTTTCTACTCAGTCTTCCCTTTCTAGCAGTGGTGAAATCCAAATTTTTTTACTACCGCTTCTGTGGGCGTGGCTTGGTGGGCATGGCAGAGGAAGGATACTGCAAAATCTCCATTCCCACCCCACTCTAGTGGAAGGATATTGCAAAATCCCCATTCCCTCCTCACTCCTGGGGCCAGCCAGAGGTGGTATTTGCCGGTTCTCTGAACTACTCAAAATTTCCGCTACATGTTCTCCAGAACCTGTCAGAATCTGCTGGATTTCACTCCGCTTTCACCTTGCAGCTTCCTCATCTCAGTTTCCTCCCCAGAGATGGAGCCTCAAAGCTGGAGAAGGCTAGCACCATGCAAGCATTCAAAGCAGGGGTGAAATCTAAATTTTATTACTGGTTCTGTGGGTGTGGCTTAATTAGTGGGCGGGGCTTGGTGGTAAGGTGACTGGGAGGGCGTGGCTTGGTCAGGAGGGCGTGGCCAAGTCAATGTCACTTCTTTGCCCTTTTTTAACCTACAAAACACAACACAACACAACTGGCTCACCCACAATATAAAAGCAGCTGTGCTAGACCTAAAATGGCCCCTGCAACAAGCAGGAAGCTCACACAGCAACAAAAAGCCCCAAAAAACAACTTTCACACTTTACACACACACAATACAACACAACACAACTGGTTCACCCACAATGTAAAAGCAGCTGTGCTAGACCCAAAATGGCCCCTGCAACAAGCAGGAACCTCACACAGCCACAAAAAGCCCCAAAAAACCAACTTTCACACCTTACACACAAAATTCCACATACAGCTTTGTGAGATTTTGTGTGTTTGTGTAGTTAGAGTGAAACACTACAGAAACACACAAAATCTCAGAAAGCTGCACAAATATTATTTTATTTTTATTTTTATATAAAAGCAGCTAAATTTAAAACTTCCTAAGCTTTAAATGGCTAGGTCTAAAAAAAGAACAACTAAAAAAACCCGCAATTAACTATTTTTTTAAAATTCCCAAAGGGGGAAAAAACTTACCCAATAGAACAGGGGTCTCCAACTTTGGCAACTTTAAGACTTGTAGACTTCAACTCCCAGAATTCCTCAGCCAGCTTTGCTTTGCTGGCTGAGAGATTCTGGGAGTTGAAGTCCACAACTCCCTGCCTGCTTGATTGCAGGCAGGGAGATTCAGTTGCTTGCTGATGCAATGGATTGCAGGGATTACAGCAAGGCATTGCTCAGCAGCTAAGGTAAGCAAGCTGAGGGGGGGGAAAGGGATTTTTGCTACCGATTAGCAGGCAACTCAGCTGAGATCATCAGAGCTTGGCTCGTCAGAGCCATTTAAAAGAAAAAAAAGGCTTTGATGATCGCACGGCTCAGCTGGGCATGGGGGGCGGGGGCAGGGATTTTTGCTACCGGTTCTCCGAACTGCCCGCCGCCATCACTACCTACTCGCCCGAGCCGGTCCGAACCGGGAACATTTCACCCTTGATTCAAAGTAGCCCATCATCAGAGCCATGAAAAGATATATATCCTTGAGACTGGGGATGGGGATGCAAATGATGGCAAATGGCTTTCAAGCTTTCAAGAAGAAAGCTCTTCTTGAAAGCTGCCAGTGATGAAGCTCCCACAACTTCTGAAGGCAACTTCTGTTCCATTGGTTGATGGCTCTCACTGTCAGAAAATTTCTCCTTATTTCCAGGTTGAATCTCTCCTTGATCAGTTTCCATCTGTTATTCTTTTATTGGCCTTCAGGTGCCTTGGAAAATAGCTTAATCCCTTCCTCTCTGTGGCAGCCCCTCAAATATTGGAAGACTGCTATCCTGTCTCCCTTGGTCCTTCTCTTCACCAGACTGGCCATGCCCAGTTTCTGTAACCATTCATTGTATGTTTTTGCCTCCAGTCCCCTAATCCTCTTGGTTGCTCTTCTCTGTAATCTTTCTAGAGTCTCAACATCTTTTTTTTTATAGTGTGGTGACCAAAACTGGATGAAGTATTCTAGGTGTAGTCTTACTAAGGCTTTATAGAGTAGTATTAGTACCTCACTTGATCTTGATTGTATCCCTCTGTTGTATACTTAGAATTGCATTGGCTTTTTCGGCTGCCACCACACATATATTTAATTGATTGTCCATTAAGACTCCAAGAACCCTCTCACAGTTGTAATTCTATTAAGCCTGGTTTCACCCAGACTATCTGTGTACTTTGGGGTTTTTTGCCTAAGTGTAGGGCTTTACTTTTCTCTACGTTGAATTTCATTTGTTTAGATAGGGCCCAGAGTTTAAGTCTGTCAATATCCATCTGGATCTCGAGCCTATCATCTTGGGTGTTGGCTATTCCTGCCAGCTTAGTATCATCTGCAAATTTGGTAAATTTATCTTCTATTCCCTCATCCACATGACTGACATGTAGACCTACTCTATGACGTTTGAGACCACCTATCCCTACTGGCTGCAATGCCCAACCAAACCCAGGAACTGAGGAACTGAACATTCCCTTCTGGGACCACCTTAGAGCTCTCTTTTGGGGGGTGCCCAATTCAAGTAGACCCTGAATCCCCTCTCCAGGTGTGCCCCAGGGATAAGGGGCAAGGGGCGAGGTGAACCAATTCACAGCAGACCCCTCCATCACCCATCCCACTTTATATAGAGTGACAAGTGTCCACTGTCCCTGACCCAGTCACTGGGGTGGCTTCAGATGGTTCTCGCATGGTCACACCTGCTGGCCACAAGGGTCCCGCAGACAGGATGCTTCCAAGATCCTGGGGAGTATTTGAGTAACCCCTTGAGGACACCTGACTTGGGCAGTGGATCTGCAGGATTTTGAGGCCAGGGGATCCCCCTCCCCCAAACAGAGAGAAGATTTGCCCAGTCAGGTGGGCGGCCATGTCCCAGGAAGGCAGATGCTAATTGCGTTGTTTGGATTTTGAAGGTAGTCCAACCCTTAGAATGGGTTCCTAACCTTAAAAGTTGTTGGAGAGCAGGAGGAACGTTGACCTTGAGAAGAGCTACAGAAGACCTTGTGAAGATCTGAAAGGCTCTAGGTGGGTAATTGATCTGAGCAGCGGCTGTACTAGATGGCCTCAAGAGACCCTTCCAGTTCTGAGATTTCCCAATTCTAACAATCAGGAAATCTTCTGCTCTGCTTGTTCTCCCCAGGGCCCCGAGTGTGTCCCCTGCCTGTGGACTACCTCATCTGCAACCGTAACTAGACCTGCGACCTCCCCCCACCTCCCCTTCCCAATTCCAGGCACTGAGAAAGCAGATGCATCTAAACAGTAGGAAAGGGAAGTGAAAGTGAAAGGTATCTCGGGCACCTGCACTGCCAGGAGATCACGTGACTGAGGATAAAAAGGCCAGGAAAGAACCCAATGCAAAACAGGCCATCTCTCCCTTTGGCTCTTAAGTCACAATGGGTGTTTTGGGCTATGTTCCCCATACACACCCCTGCCTACAAAAGCCACCATCACTTTGCACCACTCTATACAAAGCACCTGTCTTTTCCAGGCAACCAAATGCCTTCGTCTACGACAGGCTGTCGTTATGGATGCCAGTCCACCCTGGTCCCTCGCTCAGGCACCTCCACTTGCCAGTGTCAGCTGGACTTTGCTGTCTTGTCTGTCCAGCCGGTCCCATGTGCAGTTCTCCTCCCAGCAGGTGGGTCATGCTGAGGGATGGTGGTCAGATGGCCAGTAGGCCCTACTTCAACTCTCTCTCTCTCGCGCGCTAATTTCTCTACCTTTTTCCTCAGGGTAATTTCTCTATCTTTCCCTCAGCTTAATTTCTCTCCCTTTTCCTCAGGTTAATTTCTCTCTCTTTCCCTCATGCTAATTTCTCTCCCTTTTCCTCAGGTTAATTTCTCTCCCTTTCCCTCAGGCTAATTTCTCTCCCTTTTCCTCAGGCTAATTTCTCTAACGGACTGGTCGGTGAGACGCTATTGGTGGCAGAAGACGGTCTCGAAGGTACCATATTTCCCTCAAGCTAATTTCTCTATCTTTCCCTCAGGCTAATTTCTCTCCCTTTTCCTCAGGCTAATTTCTCTCTTTCTCTCAGGCTAATTTCTCTCCCTTTTCCTCAGGTTAATTTCTCTCCCTTTCCCTCAGGCTAATTTCTCTCCCTTTTCCTCAGGCTAATTTCTCTACCTTTTCCTCAAGCTAATTTCTCTCCCTTTTCCTCAGGCTAATTTCTCTACCTTTTCCTCAAGCTAATTTCTCTCCCTTTCCCTCAGCCTCAGGCTAATTTCTCTCCCTTTTCCTCAGGTTAATTTCTCTACCTTTCCCTCAAGCTAATTTTTCTTCTTCCCTCAGGCTAATTTCTCTACCTTTCCCTCAGCTAATTTCTCTCTCTTTCCCTCAGGCAAATTTCTCTCCCTTTTCCTCAGGTTAATTTTTCTACCTTTTCCTCAGGCTAATTTATCTATTTCCCTCAAGCTAATTTCTCTCCCTTTTCCTCAGGCTAATTTCTCTCCCTTTTCCTCAGGCTAATTTCTCTCCCTTTTCCTCAGGTTAATTTCTCTACCTTTCCCTCAGGCTAATTTCTCTCTTTCCCTCAGGCTAATTTCTCTACCTTTCCCTCAGCTAATTTCTCTCTCTTTCCCTCAGGCAAATTTCTCTCCCTTTTCCTCAGGTTAATTTTTCTACCTTTTCCTCAGGCTAATTTCTCTATTTCCCTCAAGCTAATTTCTCCATCTTTCCCTCAGGCTAATTTCTCTCCCTTTTCCTCAGGTTAATTTCTCTCCCTTTCCCTCAGGCTAATTTCTCTCCCTTTCCCTCAGGCTAATTTCTCTCCCTTTTCCTCAGGTTAATTTCTCTACCTTCCCTCAGGCTAATTTCTCTCTTTCCCTCAGGCAAATTTCTCTGCCTTTTCCTCAGGCTAATTTCTCTCCCCCTTTTCCTCAGGTTAA